ATACTGACATAAATGAACATTTGCACGATATTCTAATTTTTCGAGTTTCACCTGTATGTATGTATGTATAAATAAATAAATGCTTGAATCATGCAAACTTGTTTCACCTTTCATTCTTAAATATACATGATTCCAATCTTCAACCCATATACTTAAGAGTTAATTTCTCCTCATGAAGTTTATTTTTAGATTTGCACTACATTAGCCTCACTAACTGATTACTCAAGAAATTATGCTTCCCATGGGATCTATATGAGAAAGTGTGGCCTCTCGGATAAGAAAAATATAGAAAAGGTATGTGTGTGTACACTCACAAACATACCACATACTATTCTGGTTTATTTTAAAAAGTGTTATTGAATCATTGAATTAAGAGCATGCAATATGCATATACTTGATCCTGCCATCCTTATCATATTTAAAACTCTTCCAATGTAAAGTAATTGTCAAGCTTTGCTAAAGAACAGCCTTTAAAAAAATAAAAAGAAGAAAAGAAAAGCATTTAATTTCTGACCTTCACATCAGACCAGAAGCAAGATGCTCATTTTTCTGAGCAAACTGAAGAATACAAAGTTTTTTTAGTGGAATTAAGTTATCTTATTCAGTGTATATCAGTGGCTTCCAAGAAGATGGCTTTTCACTCACCGATCACTCCAAGCTCCATTCCATTCTACTTGTCCCCAGGGATTTCTGAGCCGCACCAGTTTTATCTTCTCCCCTTTAAGCATTGTCTTGGTGATAAGATGGGGAAGAAACAATAATTAGAGTCACCCTGAAATTACATAGCACATATCTCCTTACAGATTCTGCCTAATGGCGTGCAGGAGGAAACACCTGGTTAGTCAGCCAAATCAGCCAAACCAACCTGGGAGTCAGCACGGTGACAGATATCACAGCAAAACTGGATGTGGACATTAGTGACATTTCCTTAATATTTCCAATGTTATTCATGTTTCACTACTAGTCGTAAACATCTATTCCTTTTTTTTTTAATAAAGAAGTTGCTTGGCACAAAGTCTTGTATAGAAAGGCACGAATTTATTAATGAACATCAGGCTTGTTGATTAAGAAGCAGAATTCCATACTTACCTCCTCCACTCCTGTGACTGAATAGGCATGGCCTGTGACCAGTCCATTAGTCATGCGCCTTTCAAACAACAATGGAACGATGGTCTGTAAAAGGCAGAGAAAGCTTGTTGGAAATCACAATGGTGTCCTCTACAGAACTTATAAAAGGCCAACAGTTTACTTCTTGATCAGATGGACTCATAACACTGACTTCTGGGCCCAGTGCAAGGTGCTGGTTATCACCGATAACGCTATGTATCATAGAATCATAGAACCGTAGAGATAGAAGGACCGCAAGCATCATCATGTCCAATGCTCTGCTATGTGTAGGAAAACAAATTAAACTATTCATGTGAGTGGCTGTCCAGCCTCTTCTTAAAAACCTCCTCCGATGGAGAATCCACAACCTCCATATGTATACTGTTCTGCTGCTGTATAGATCGTACCATCATGGAGCTTTTCCTCACTTTTAAAAGAAATCTAGGTAGCTGCAATTTATACTTGTCACTTCTGATCCTAGTTTCTGTGGTTACAGAAAATTGCTCTCGATCACCTTTCCTATAGCTTCCCTATATGTCCCTGAAGATGGTTATCAAGTCTACCATCTGTCTTCTTTTCTCCCAGTGGAACATCCCACATTCCTTCAGCCTGTCCTCACAGGGCGCATCCTGTGGTGCAGTGCTGGGTTACATGGACATCTAGAAACAACCAGCTAAGGGTTCTGCCCCCATGAGAGATAGGAAGGCATAGAGCAGAAAACAGGATCCTCCTAAGGCTGTCCTCATTTCATGGAATATGATGGCTCCTGTGGGGTGTTTAGCCTCATACCATCTGGCGTTCTGAAAGATTCTGATGGCCATTCTTGTTAAATGGACATTGACACCTAGCTATGAACAATGGGTTACCTTTGGTGTATTTTAATTAATTTTATGTTGATGATTTTAACAGATATGGAGCTGATGACTTTATTTGTGTATGCTAACTTTTTGTATGCTACTCTGAGTCTTATGAAAGCTAAATGAAAATGTGATGTGTGTGTGGGTAAACAAACAAACCCCAGGATTTATTTATCCTAACAGTAAAAATAATCTGAATGAGCAGAAAGGACAGCTAGCTATCACTAGGGAAAAATGTTTCTTAAATTAGTCTGCAGAAGAAATGCTTGGGCACAATAGTAGAAAAAGATATACCAACGTTATTCTGCCTGTTTTGCCAGGAAACCTATCTTTCTGAACAATTAAATGTTCAAAATATGCCATGTCTAAGATGTATATTTTCCTTGCAGAAATTTATTTATTTATTAAAGCATTTATGTTTCAACTTTTTTGGGAGATTGCTCAAGGTAGCATACATAGTATGCATACATACATTCCCTCATATTCTCTCCATAAAAACAGTCCTGTAATATAGGATGAACTGACCAAGTGTTTGGCTCAAGAACATACAGTGAACTCTTTACAGTAGATGAATGAAGACTTCAAGCTAGCTTTCATCGGTCCAAGCCCCAAACATTAATTGCCATATTATACTAACTCTTTTCTTGAAACTCTGGTCTATTTTTGGCAGTAATCCTAATTTGTAATCATGATCTAAGCTGATTTTCAGACCCCAGCTTGTTTTAACCATTGTTTATTATTCTTGAATTCACATTCTTGGCTTATAACTGGTGCTTGAGTACTTGATAATACTCTGTATATTCTAGTTTCATTGGAAAAAATTGGCAAAATGGTCCACTAGGTCACATTTAGAAACCAAATGTTTGCCTGCTAATTAATATTAGGTGGAAAATTGCAACTTCATTAATCATCATATTCTAAAATTCCAGTGATACAACCTGAACCCAATGCAAACCTTTCAGGAGATGGCATAATGACTACATGGTTCTTACTGGCTACACATTTGAGTGTACAGACCTGAACTGCCCTGTCTTCAGCTGATTCATTCAAAAATACAGAATCCACCTTCTGCAACATTTGGGTAATGAATTGTCCAATATTAGTTGTAGGAGCACTTCCATAAATAAATCCTGAACTGTCCTAGGAGAGAAAAATAGAAAGGAAAAGTAGGAAGATATTATGAAAAATAAGGCAGTGACACAGCAAAATAAGAATTGAATAATATTAGTATTGAATAAAGTGTACCTTTTTCAGTGATGCCAGCAACATAAAATCTCTTTACAGTTTAATTTTTATGTGTTGCTAAACCAAAACATTTAAATAAATGCAGTGACACTATAAGATCAAATAAGGCACAGTCACGTATCTGAAATCCACCTAACATCCCATCCGAATAGTAATACAAGATGTAGATGCTTGTTTATACCTATCATGAAACCTCCAATTTAATCAGCAATCTCTTCTCTTTCACCTGGCCCTGAGAGACTCTCATCTCTGAAATCCCCATACTGCTTCATTTTAGGCTTATACAGGAGGAAAATCCTTCATTGTGGAGTCCTTGGGTTCTCTGAGCTTGGTTGTTTTCTTGCAAATGTTTCGTTACCCAGCTAGGAAACATCTTCAGTGCTAGAATGGAATAGAAGGACTCCACAGTTCAATCCTGAGCTACACATATCCTCTTCTATTGAAATCCTTCATTCCATGGCAAGTTTTGAAGGAGGCATGGGGTGATAACAGGGAATGCTGATGACAATTTCTCCTTCTCTCTCTCCCTCCCACACTTGCAGTTGTGATCTTTTGCTCAGCTTCAATGCCAATGCTGCCTAAAGGGAACAAACTTCTATTGTGGAGAGAGGGAGAAAACACATATGTAGATATTTTGTTCAAATCTCATCAGAACCGATCCTCCTGAAAGCAAGAGGAAGGAAATATTTTGAACACAAGATTGCTCACTTTTAAGATGAGCAGAACTGGGAAGTCTGTGGTGAACTTGTCCTTGGGCAAGGAGATGCCTGAGGAGTTTCTCTGAATAACCCACATGAGACAGACTCAGTATAAAAGCCCTGACTTCTTGACCAGTTACAGAAGAACTGTAGAGTTGGACAGCCAGCTCTGAGCCCCCTCACCCACTTGCCAGTCTTTGCTTGTCCCAAAGAGAAACCTCTTTGAACTATCTGAAGCCAGGTCTTCCTGAAAGACGACTTGAAACCAGCAGGGTGACTGCAAAATAGGTTCTTCCACTGAATTAAACCTGCAGTCATAGGCCCAAGGAGACTGCCTCTAGTAGCTTGCCACCTTAGACCTCAGAAGCATGACTTCCTGGGTGCCTGAAGAAGCCCTGTTGAGTTGGGTTTTCCAGCCTGGAAATTTTCCCAGCCAGCTTCACTTGATGTTGAGTCAGGTTTCCCAACCAGCTTCACTAGATGTGCTGAATCCAGAGTCAGAGAGAGGAGTGGTAGAGCAAAGCCCACCCTGAACCAAGAAACATACTGAGCTAGCCTGGCCAAAAAACGCTACTATCTATTTTCATATACAGGTTGGCTTTTCATCTCTTTCTGATTTTTTCTTTTCCTCTGTTGTCCTTTCTTTCCCCACCTCCTGCCCACTTTTCTATCAATTAGTTAAGGAGAATGTGCCAGTAACTCCACTCCCCTTGTTTATCCAAAATTTTCTCTTTCCAAGGCAAAGAAAAGAATTTGTACAGAGGATACACTGGATTGGTTCTCTTCCCTAAAAACTGCAGTGTACCTGTTGTTCCATTACTATCCTTCGGGGATTTATTTAAATGCTGTTTTATCATTGAATGCTGTTTACTCTTTTCCCTTTCCTTCCTATTTCCCAATGTCAGGCTTTCATTGTATTATTCCTCAGTACACTCCAATCTGTTTCCCTGAGGCATGTGAGGTCACCATTTTTGAGTTCCACATTTGCTCTGGGATCCACAACTTTTAAATACTCTTCAGTCCAAAGATTTCATTTGCATAGTGATCCCTACTAGACAGTTGCTGTGTAACACTCCCAAGACTCATTCAGTGCCAAGCTATGACCCTGATCTTGTTGTCCTGCATTTCCACACAAGACGAACTAAGACTTATTATAAATATATTATCCAGAATGTACCTCAATGGAGCAAGCCATAAGTGACCCTCTCTCAATGGCGTGCTTCATGATTTTGTATGTATCTTTAGGAGCATCCTTTATCTCATAAAATTCTGTCACTCCTCCTGTGAAATCCTCCATGGCCTCCGTTGTATTGCCTCCTTTTAATGCTTCATAGGACCCATGAAGCCTGAAAAGCAAAAGGAAAAAATTAAATAATTCTCATTATTAGTCTCCATCCATTTATATGTAGATTAGCTTTATCTTCAGATGGCAAAAGCTTATGCTACAAGAACAGCTAGCTTCTCTCAGAGCTGGCTTCATTTATTAGCCTTAACCATAATTAGCTTTATTTGGATTTGACATAATATGTTCTGTGAAGTCAGCCATTGCGGTTTATAAGCCATAATTTATTACTTATTGCCAGACACATTATGCAAAGACCTAGCTCTCTGGAAAAGGCTCTAATGCTGGGAAAGTTGGAAGAAAAGGGAAGAAGAAAATGACCAGCGGCAAGGTGGATAGACATAGGTACAGTAGCAATGAGTGCACCATTGGAAGGACCAGGTGAGGGACAGATCAGCATGGAGGAAATCTGTCTATGTGGTCGCTAGGAATCAACCACGACTTGATGGCATGTAATCATCATCATCAATGTCTGATCCCAGCCATTGTTTAGAAAGTATGGTTCAAACTATTTCATCTGATGGAAACAGTATGCGATTTGGCCAAGAAGCAGAGCTCCCATTTTGCTTTATTGTGCAAAATTACAGAGTGTAAGGAAATACAGTACTTGCACAAACAATGGGACTGATGAATCCTAGGAAAAAATAGAATTATCTTTGTTGTGATCACTATGTATCCATGGCTATTTGTGAAAACTGCCACTGTTTTATATCCACATACTTCAGTCTCAACATGAACAATAAACAGTATGTCATAGATAGAGCAGTGAATGGACAAAATCTCTTTACTTTGCATAAGCTTTTTCCAGTAATGCACTCCAGAATTCATTCTGCTGGGAGGATTTAGTGAAGACCAGACGTTTGCCATATGTTGGTAAACGGTCATCAATGATAACTTCCACCCAACTTCCATAACGCCAGAACTGGAAGATTCGGGAAAAAAAAATTAGAACCCACTGAGACAGAGAGCATAAAAAAAGAAAAAGTTAGGTGTCACTTATGATCAAAAGCTGGTTTATACATTATAAAAAGGACTAGATTATATTGTTTCATGATTAATTCATAGTACCAAAATACACTCACCACCAGGAGGCACTACACGACCAGTTTTGTCCTATTTGGAACTCATCAGAGGTAAGTTATTCTATAGAGTTCAAACTCTCTATCAGAAATTGAACACTTGGACCTTTACACTTTATATAACTATTTACAATGCATTAACTTTAGACACTGTCCAGGTCCTGGTGCTTAGTGGTTGTAGGAAGGGATATATAGAATCTATCAAGGTGGTATATACAGCCCACCTTCCTTTAAGCTCTCAGTGCAGAAAGGTACAGAAGTTATTATTTATGTCATGCCCCCATGTATGGGGCTTTACATACTTCCAAGAAGCCAGTGACAGCATATACTGTATTATTCTGACATTAGCAAAATAGCAATTAAAATAGGCTTTTCATCTCTGAATGCACTTCTGAGTTATTGTATAGTAATTAGTGGAATATAGTGAAAATGCAGAACAGAACATCATCTTGGCTCTCTTTAACAACATATACCTGGAAGTGAAAAATCCCGGCATAATCTTTAAGGAAGGTCTGACCCTCAGGAATGACCCGGAACAGCAACTTTTCATTCAGGGTCAGACAAGCAATGGCAGCCAGAAACCAACAATCCCCTGATAGAAGGCAAACAGGGTTGGACAAGTTCAATGTCAGAAGGAAAAAGGATGCATGCAACTGAATGATTAGACTTTACACAGATAATCATATTTTTGTCCTTCAGAACAACAACTTTTCACTACATGCATTAACGAGAAAGTGGTATCTGATAAATTAATTGGATAAATAAACTATTACAAACCCCAAACAGCTGCAAGAAAGGATTTCATACCTAGTTCCCCTTGACAAATGTCAGACCTATTGGCTCCACCTAGGATAAAGCGTGGATTCTCACAGATTTCCTAGATAAAAGAAATACATGGTTGAGAAAAGAATATACACTTCCGCTTTGATAATTAAAGATATCTATCTATCTATCTATCTATCTATCTATCTATCTATCTATCTATCTATCTATCTATCTATCTATCTATCCATCCATCCATCCATCCATCCATCCATCCATCCATCCATCTGGTGCAAACTTTCTGATGCTTTGTGATCAAAACAGTGGCTCAGATGGGATTCAGTTCATACATCTAAGAGGGTGAGATAAGTAATAACTTTGAAGTTATCTGATAACTCCAAAACATAGCATTCAGTTGTAAAATCAGTTCACAACAGGACTAAAAATATTGTACATGCAAAATTTTCTTGATAGGAGGCTTCGGTTTCTGTATAGGATCATCAAGCTTTTTCACTGTGGTTACTATAAATCTGTCCATGCATCTGTCACATTAACAGAATGTGTCTTCTGGGTATATATCTCCCTGGTGACTTTAGCCCATGCACAGGGGTCTGCTGGATCTTGCTGCATCATGCCTGCATGCTGCAAGCTCTATTCCATTCTTACATCTGACTGACGACCCAAGACATGTACAAAAGGGGCAGGCCTTGCCTCACAACCGCATGCTGCTAAATTTGAGGGAACAAGCAAATACATTACCTCAAATTTTTTCTCAATTACCTCAAATGCTTTCCAGATAGTCTTTTAGAATGATCTATGCTTTCTCACAGAGTTATACCATACAGGGCTCCCCCAAAAACTTGTATGCAACCAAAACATTGCTAACAAAAGGTAATTTTTAACGTGACGGAAGTTGGAAATTATGCAATATGTGGTAAGTAGTCATATTAATGAAATTCAACTGTTAATTAATTTTTTTTTTGTTCTGACCCCAACCTCTTCACTGTCTTCTCCATGCCTAGTTTATTGGCTGTAACATCCCAGCATACAATTCCAAGATCTGTCAAAGATTTTATTTGGAGAAAAAATATTGTGTACTTCTGCTTTTCCATTTGAAATAGAATTAAATAAATGACTTGCAAATATTAAGCAATTTTTATGTCAGACAAGAAGCCTACTTACTGACGGTCTTTTCCACTCAAATTTGACTGGGAGCCTCTGACTGTAGAAAAGGGAGGAGTCATTAGCTGGAAAATCTGGATCCTCATAAAGAATCTTCTTCTCAAGGCACTTCTTATGAAGCTCATGAAAAGTCTTCTCCTTTACTTCAATAATGGGTTGGTTGCGGCTGAGGATAGCAGAATAGATCCCTCCCGTTCCAGCACCTGTTTCAGTAGTTGCGCTGGCATGCTGACAGGGACTTGGTTCAGACCCAGTCTCTTGAACAACAGTGCTGCTGACAGCGGACGGCATCTAGATCAAATTGAAGCAAATCTATCAATTGAATTATAACAGTTGAAACAGAGACTAGGAAGTGAAAAAAAGAAGCACAACGTTGCACAATCTCTTCTGCAGACAAGAGTTTTCTGTCTTCCTTTTCTGCAAGACTTCAGACAAATTTAGGAAGAGCCATGCCACCAAGTTGCATAGATGTCATCTTGAGGTTCTCACAATAGTCACTCTGTCGTTTCATTTCAAAATCCTCATTTTAGCAGGAAGCAAATTGTAGAGTAACTTCCACCTCCAGATTGGCGGTGTGAGGGTGGCTGTGGCATGCTTTGTAAAGGTTGCAGCTCTGACAACTAAAAATAAACCCTTAGGAAGCATATTGGCATGGAGGAGTGGATGAGGAAAGTTTCCTTCTCAGAGATGGTTGTTTCAGAAGGATTGAGATTGCAAATGCAAGTGCAAGTGCAAGAGAGTCTCATGTAACTTATTTATTTATTTATTTATTTATTTATTTATTTATTAAACTTGTATGCCGCCCATCTCCCCCAATGGGTGACTCTGGGCAGCTCACAATAACAAGGAGAAAACACCAATCCCTCCAACAATGGCTAAAATCCTTAAATAATTAAAATAGAAACATACATTAAAAATGTCCTAAAACCCCCCTATAAATTTTTGCCCTAAAATTGATTTGTGCTCAGAGGAAGATTGTCCTCATCGTTTTTAGCCTCTGTTAGCTGTCACTCATTATTTGAGCCTATTTTTTTAATTTGGACTTGCTTCCACACTGGCAAATGCTATTTCTTCCCCATTATGAATGCTTTGTTTGGTTGGCTCTATTCCTTCAGGATTTCAGAGACCGAATCTACTCGGCAGAGGGAGGAGCATCTGTCACTCTTGTCTCGCGATGGGCAACGTACTGCAAGGCCCTTGTACCTTTCCTGATCCTGGCCTGTTGGTAGGCATGCATTTCACCGGTCAACACTTTCCTACAGCTTTCAGATGCATCGTATGGCTAAGACAATATGCAGAAGTATACTATGGCAAGGACGTATCTCTGAATCAAGCCTGTTTGCTGAAGTGCCACTTATGAATATACAGAAGAAAGAAGCAGGTGCTTGAGGAGGCTCCTAGATGTATGGAATGAGGTAACCAGTTTCAGAATTCCAGAAAGCAAATATTTACACACTGAAAGAGGATATTTTATCAACTAGAGTTTGTAGAAAGTTTGATGGTTTCTTGATATAGAAGTTTCTATCATGGTGTCATGTTAGCCAATGTTTTATACAGGAGAGGCTTCCACTTTAACATTTCCTTTTTTTTAAAAAAAAAAAAAGCTGCCCTGCCCAGGCCCAAAGCACCCTCAGGGGAGGGAGCAAGGGACAAGAAATGTATCATGATGTCTGATGCAGGTATCAGGACTTACATAATTGCAGCAGATGTTGTGGTGCAAGCACATAACAGAAGGATTTGCATCCTGACATTACCCTGCACACTGTCATGTTGGTGGTGTGGCTTGCTCTGGACACTGCTGCCCAGCCCAGTACTATCTGAAAGATATATTTCCCAAAGAATACAGAACAGAGACTTTGAAGTGGCTTATTCCCCAGCAGCTGGGCAGTAGAGTGTGCAGACATGCTGACAAATCACCTGGTAATATACAGATGGGGGGGGATGGACCACCTTTTCCCTGCTGAGGGCTGCGTTTGATGTACAAATGGCATGATGACAGCCCAACATGTGCAGGAGTAGAACTGAAAAGGGGAGGGAGCCAGGGAAGCACATAAAATAGGTGATTATAATTTAAAGTGTAGCTTTTGAATATTTTAGCCTGGAGGGATGGATATTGATTGGTTTTTAAGATTTCAGTACAGCGAAAAGCTTGTTTTACCCCTGGTGCAACAGACCTCAACACAGCGAACCAAATTTCTGCTTCAGTTTACATAAGCAGTGTAATGATGATATGCAAAATGAAAAAAATAGCCTCATTTGCTTCAGTTTACATCTTTTGTTTGTTGATGTCACCAGGCAAATAATGTGATGTGATACACATGATATAATTTGCATTATATGTGTGATGTCATCACACAACTGGCGTAACCCCTGTGATGCCCTACTTTCTTCTTCAACTTACTCCCCTTAATCTTTTAAAACAAGGTTTCACTGTATCTAGGGTTTAATCCACAATTAAAACAAACAAATGCAAACCATTTAAAGAATTATTATTATTATTATTATGGTTGGTCAGCCAGATGTTTAGACTGGATCTGGCATTCTGATCTTTGGAAGTATAGACGCATCCTGGCATCTGAATAGCTTTTCCAAGGCTTCATGGCTACTCTACCAAGGGCTAGTCTACTCTGTATTTCTTGACTTTCTGGTTCTTTTACTGTTTATATTTGATCCTAAAAGGCAGAAACTCTCCAGCACTTGAATATCTATCTTCACTGTCAGTTCTAAGGCTGGTTGCTGTACCTGTTGCCATTAGTTTGGTTTTCTTTATATTTAATCTTTGTCCCATTTTTACTGTGCTCCTTAACTTTCATTACTAGAGCTTGCAGGTCCATTGCATTTTCAGCTATCAAAGTAGTGAATCAGGAAAGCACAGATTATTGAAGTTTCTTCCTCTGGCTTTAAAACCACACTCATTTTCTTCCAAACCCCCTTCCCTCAAGATATATTCCCCATGTAAGCTGAATAAATAAGGAGAAAGGATACGACCTTGTCTCACTCCTTTGCCAACCCAGAACCAGTCTGTTTTGCCATTTCTGTCCATACTGTGACTTATTGACCCGTGTATAGATTATTCATGAGGACAATGGGATGTTCTGGGATTCCCATTTTTCTAAGCACATTCCACAGCCTGACTTGATAGACACAACTGAAGGCTTTCTGTAATCAGTGAAGTACATACAGACCTCTTTTTTTCTAGTCTTAGCTTTCTCAATTATTCAGTGTGCATCAGCAATAATGCCACTTATTCCTCAGCCTTTTCTTGAACCTCTGGCGTCTCCCTCTCCGTGTAGTGCTCTAATCTGCTCTGAATGGTGATAAGCATTATTTTGAAATTAAGGATACTGTACAATAGTTCGCACATTCTGTTCTTTCTTTTTTATTGGTATGTAGACTGACCTCTTCCAATCTGTTGGCTAGCATGGATGTTTGCTTTTTCTGGATAATGGGGATGACTTTCACACACTGGATGACCCTGCTGGGAGTATATTCTCGTGGCGTACTCTCCCAGCATTCTTCACTCATTCCTCCCAGGAACATGGGCCCAGCGCAATGAGGCAGCATATCAGGATTTGAGGGGGTAGGTTGCTGTATTCAGTGTCCGTAGTATTACTATTTGGTTGCAAATGCTTTCCCAACCAACATTTTTTACATCCACATTCTGTTTTCCTCTTGGGTAGCAACTAATTTAGTTATTGCAAGATCCACATACATTACATTTTGGCTGTCTTGCAGCAGGAAATACTAGAAGCAATTTAAGCTCATTGGTATGAGAGGACACAAGTGATTCGGCTTACTACACTGTTAGAACAGCACCAGTGATATATTTCTGCCACTTGTGGAAGACTTTGGGTACTTTCCTTCCCTGATTTATTTTAGTAAAAATTCAAGTAATTCTGGCAGGGGCATAAATGAATGGCTGTCAGTCATTTTGCACTCTCATCTCCCAGCCTCAACGTTAATTGAACACTCTATGGCAGAATACTCATAGCAACTATTTTTAAACATGGTAAGTACTGTGAAATCCCTGTCAACATTTTTTTTTTTGTTAAATACTCTGGCATGCCCTCATGAATCTGATATGATGCCAGTTGGGTATGAATTGGCTTTAAGACCAGAACTAATTCCATACTCACATCTACTAGGGAATAAGTCATACTGGAGCTTTAGAAAGTATGAATAAAGTCTTAAATTCTAGAATTTATAATACCCTCCCTCCCCCTTATTCTTTAACAAGGATCACACTACAAAGGCTTTTTTCAAATTTAAAGTTCAGTTTTATTGGCTACAGATTTGTTCCAATTTGTACAAAAACGTATCTTGAAACAATATTTACCTCAAGAATTAAATTATACAATTGCTATTTAGATGATATCTTTATCATTTGGCAGAGCAATGAATATTTACTTAACTAGTCTGGAAAATTTATTAATACTCTACATGAGATTATTCACAATGCATTATAGGAACAACAGTGAATTTTTGTGGCAAAGAGGTGTTTTTACATTCAGATATCGAAACATATATGCTATTTATAAAAGAGTTCTAAAGTTTGTAGATAATTTAGATTATAAAGATTTAAAGTAATATTTTAAAATTGATAAAGTCGATAATTTATGAAACTCTCCATATGCTGTGAAAATATTTTATGTTACTGTTTCTTCAGTTGTTTTTTTCAAAAACTGACATTTTGAGTATTGAGATTAGCATAATTAATACTACTACTATGATTAAATATATGCAGAAAACCTAAAGATGTTAACTCATTAATGTATGAAAGTCACCATTCATAACACCTTAAGAAAAAAAATTACCTTATTCTTAGTTATTGAGATTAAAAAGAAATGGCCCAACAATTAGGGCAACCAAAATCTTGGAGCAAAAGTTGTTATAGAAAGGCAGTGAAAGGAGACTTACAATGAGTTAAATGTAGAAAAGAGAGCTTTTACTTAATTTATACACTGAACTTACCACCTGGAGTGAGCAAGCATTTTTTTTCTCTTCTGGGATCCAGAGATTTGGTGCTATCCGGGAAGGAGAGTTAAAACAGCCCCACCCTCTCCTTAATTGGAGTTTGTTTGATAAAAAGGGAGCTGAAAACAAGCAGGTGTGTGGGTGTGTCACAAAAGGAGTTATGCCAGAAGGGGGGGGAGGAGTCCATTCACAAGTCTATAAAGGAGCAAAAAGGGTTTTCATGTTCAATGGACAGAGCTGGGCTATAAGAGTTGAAGATCTGGGGAAAAGGGGAAGATTTAGAAACCTAAGAAATAGTGAAGATAAAAAACCATGAGACTATACACATAGGAATAAGAACATAGAAACAGAATATAAGGATAGAAAATTTATAGATTAAATAATAATTAGATAGAAAATAGTTATAGATAATAGTAAG